CCCCGAGTCCTCCGCTCCCCCCTTGGTGGCCGTGCCTTAAGCCACTATGCCCCAAGCCTCTGGAACTCACTCCCTTCACCTCACTCCCTCCCTTCCCATTTTCAGGTCTCTGCTGAAGACCTTTTCGACCGCGCCTTTGGTCACCTTCCTCCCCCCTCCCCCCTGGCTCGGTCCCGGGATCCGTTACTGTTAAGCGCTTTGAGACGCCGTCCGGCGTGGAGGGCGCTATATAAATCCAAGTTGTTGTTATTAATTTGCACCTCCAAAGAATCAAAGAGTCAATGTTCCTTTATTGTGCCCCTCTACAATCATCTCTTCTGCAAGTTGTGTCTCGCTTGCCCCTCCCCACTCCTGCTCCCATGTACTGTTTGTTGGTATGGCTGTGCAATGTAAACACTGAAGTCGTGGAATGGCCCTGGAGATGGGAGCTCAGGCTGACAGACAATGCCATGGTTTGTGTTTGGTTCCCTCAGAAGGGTGGTTGTACCGTTGATTTATTACCGCTTTTTTTTCTCTCTCTCTCTCTTTTCCCCCAATGCCTATTCTTTGAGCTGCACTTCCAGTGAAAGATTTGACAAATGGAGATTTATGCCATTTGACAGCAGGATGGGAACCACGTTCCCTTTTGTAACAGTCAGAGAAAAAAAACAGGGCTTTTCCAGCTTCTAGCAATGTGTTTGTAGTCCTGAACCCTTTCATATGCTGGGAATGTACAGCCAGGAGAGAAATGGCATCTCCCTTGTGTTTTCTTGACCTGCTGACTGACCATTCACTTCCCATCTGTTTTTCAACCCGCAAGGAACAGGCTGATATAAATCTTTCTTCTCAGGAGATAAATGATGATGTGAATCTTAAAGGGCAGCACATTGGGTGGTGTGGCCTTTTTAAAAACCTCCCCAGTTTTCCCTCTGGGCCACGTCCACTCGAAAAACTGTGTCTTATGAACTAGGTGTTAGAAGCTGAGGGAAAACAGTGGGTCCCTCTGAGGCAGTGCTGTGAAAGCTTTTACTTGCTTAAAGGGCTCTTTGTCAGCAGCAGTAAATCACAGTCTTGTTCAGTTTGCAAAGTAAGCTAATGGATAAGTTTTAAGGGAAAATAAGTTGCTGCAAAAAAGAAGTGTTCTTTACAACCGTGAGGTTCACCAGTGAGCTATCGCGTGTTGCGGGACTGGAATGCTCATGTTCTTCAATAGGATTGAACGAATTAATTCGGACGACAAGCAGGCAAGCACCGAATGCTCAATGCTGACACAGGCTGAAGCCTTCTACAATTCAAGCTATGGAACACTTTGTCATTTCTCTATCAATTAAATAAATCAGTTGGGAGAGAAAAGAGCTAGAGCTAAAAGCTTAACCAACAGGCTTCAGAAGGAGAATGTGAAAATGATTTTACTTGCAGTCAGACTCCAAAGTGTTTTTTTTTTCAAAATGGATTTTTCTTTTTAAAACAAATAAAACAAAGATGTGAAAGTGTTTTATTGGTGAAGCACGGAAATTGTTCAAACGGGAAAGAAAATGTAGATTCTCAATCTTTCTCAACTCTTAATCTATTCCAGTATTCTGAAACTCCATTTGTCTGTCAGTCTTCCTCTTTCATGTAATCTACACGGTGTTCTCAAAGTCCTGTTACCCCCATGTTTTTTTTCACACAGTGCACTAACAACTGAAACATGTGGAAGAATGACGATAATTGTATTTAGAATCACTTCATAGTATTCAGTACAAGTCTTTAAGTGTATTTAGACATCCAGAGGATCGGTATGAGTACGTGTGTGTGGTGTGTGTGAGTGCCATCATTTTCATGATCGGTCACCATGTTCGGTTGCGAGATCTTCCTTAACATGGATGGAGTGGATGAGGAAGTTACTGGTATTAGACATTGTTCGACTCCACTCATCTGCAACAGAAAATAAAAATTCACTGTAAGAAAGAAACATGAAGACAACAGATCTTCGTGTACACCCTGTACAAGCTTTTAATACCCCAAACTCAGCATCACCAAACAACCATTTCTTAACTGTATCCGGTTTCTCCCTTGTCTCTTGAACCTCGGTCAATCCTGTATTATGGGGCTTGACTATTCACCAGCTAAAACCAAGACTGTGAAGATACTTGCATCATTCCTCCATTTTCTTGCCATTAACCCTTACAATATATGCCACAATATTTCAGGGTGCAAAGTAGCCTATGTTTAAAAAGAAAAGCAAAATCCGAACTGAATGAGATTCCAGTTCCCTTTTCTTCTTTTGAAATCCCTTGAGAACAGTTGTCAGATCCCTTAATCTGTCAGGGTTTTGTGCTGTCAAACCCTGATTACAAGCCAATTAGATACATTATCAACTACACAGAACCCTACAGCAGAAGATTAGAGATGAGAAAATGAAGTGGCTGAGGTATCTCTTCATGTGGAGATGAGGGGCTTCCACTGAATGGGATCCCAGCTCCGTCTGAAAAGCACAGTGTCTATAATATGCACACGAAGGGATTCCCGGGATATGTGTTAGAGGATTATGAGAATATTCATGGCTAGATCAGAAATAAGGAATTAACGCATGGAATCACTCAACTCTTGAGTAAACATTGTTCAAAAGAGTCATAGAATGGCATTAAGGAATCAGGGAGTCAAAGGTTAGAGGACATTATGAATCATAGTTTTGTGTCTGGATGCACAAAGATTATGAATTAATTTCTTACAGCATTTTTCCAATGGTTTGGCCCGTCTTACTTCACAAAGGTTGCGTTTCCCATGGACTTTAAACCAACTCTTAAATTCATGATAGGCCCCAAGAGATCAAAATGGGGTTTCGGTACAAATCGTTGCTGGCGTCTCAAACCATTGGCTGGAAATCTGTCATTCTGAGCAGGTGAAGGGACCAAGAGAATGTGAGTCCACGTGAGAGAGTTCTGTAATGTAGCTCCAAGGTAAAAATGGACCTGGGTCATTAACAAAGCAAATTTCTGTAATCGGTTCACAGTCAATTGGGTGAGAGATATTAAGTGCAAACCTTTTGTAGCTTGTGTTTGCGATATTGTTTACATTGGTTCAGACTTTCAAAACACACTGCCTTTACTTCACCAGAATGAGCATTTGAAACTGAGGCACGTTTCCAATCCGCCTTTGACTGAAACTGTTTCCCAAACAGTGTGATCAGACCCAACGTGAACTTTTATCTTGTGGTGGTGGGAGGGGGGGGGGGGGCAGGGGTTCCAGAGACTGAAGCCACCGGTTGTTGTAATCTCCAGATCAATTTGTGGTACTGTAGAGGCTGCAGATGGCATTGTTATTTCAGATGTGCCGAGAGGATGTTTCCTATAGCAAGCCGCAACAATGGCAGCGTGCAGTCAATGAGTTAATACTTACAATGCAGCAGATTAGTTTCAGACCTCAGCAAAGAACCTTGCAGCTTGTCAAAGACGTTCAGGTGGAATGTAAATAACGACCTTTCCAGCCCACACAGGCAACAATCCCTTGCATGTTCCGACTACATAATGTACACACAGGCATTCCTGTTATTAGCAGTCTAGACCTCGCGGTAAAATAATAAGCAAAAGCCTCTGATCAATTAAACACAATCCTGATTTTAAACTGCATTCGTGTTTAAGCTAGAGATGCGCTGAATCAATCACTTTCATACACTGGCACACGCACAATCACCTGCCTGGTGGAGGCACAATTAATTTGTGGCCCTTTATCCGTTGAGCATTTTGGCGAGTATTTTAAGTCCGGATTTAGTCGAAATAAAGAAAGCTGTTGCTCCATGTAAATCGCCTGTATTTGCTTTATTTTTAAATAACAAAGGCTGTGTATTTGCATCCGGAAGGTTAGGGAATCTTGCTCACATTGTTGTGTTGGATGTAAAGTGCCATAGTGTTACAACAGAACAATGGCATTTGGATCACTCTTGGCTGACTGGTTTCATAAGGTTTTATTGGACAGATGGTTTTTATGAAAGGATCCGGGGGATAAGAAAGGACAAAATGCAGGGAAGCTGGAGGTTATTTTATAGTCTGTTTCTGGTCGTTTGGTTATCATTCTGATTGTATTCATACCAACTAATCTTGCTGTACAGTGTTACCGTTCTTTGCAACCATTTCACTTCATTATTTTCAAGGTCAGTGAACTTTATTCAGAAGCCAGAGTTTGGGAACTTATTTCTGTGCTTAGGAACTGACAGGAAGCCCAACAAAAGCTACCGTTAGAATTCTAATTCTGTCTCTCCCATATGACCCCCCAAGCAGATATGTGTGTGTGTGTGTGTGTGTGTACGTACCTGCTCCTTCGTGATCCTTTAACTCTTAACAAGGCTTTTGAATTTTCCCTTTTGTCCCTATTCACTAAAGGGCTGTGAAAATATAGTGGATCAGGAAGGGCAAGCTGAGAAAGGTTACAGTAATGGCAAAGGGCTACATTTTGCCTGTAGATGCGTTTTAAGCTTTAACCTCATAAGCATTTTTTGTGAAGCTAAAGACCTGGGTTGGTTTTTACCTCATTTACCTTGTGTTTTAATTAGAAGATAGGAATGAATATTGCTCGTGCTTTGTGGGTTTGGTCGCTATTTTGTTATATATAGACAAATTAGTCTCACAACTGCTGCAACAACAACAACTTGCACTTATATAGCGCCCTCCACGCAGTGGAGCATCGCAGAGTGCTGAACAGTGGTGGTGCGAAAGGTATGCGTTCTATCTGGCGCTTGCTTCCAGTTTAGATTATGAGCCATTTTCATCACTGGTTGTTCAAAGCGATTTAGTGCAGATAGCCCTTGAGAATTGATAGATCTGGAGAAAATGAAAGGGAAAATAAGGGTAGAATTATTTTTTGGTTCGATCAGAACAGTTGCAAGTCAAGAATGAAATGTAGCATTGGATCTTATGAAATACAGTGGGATTATATGTATTGTGCCAATAGAGGTGATTGATAGGCTATGCATGCTGCTCACAGCTCGGGATTCACTCTGAATTATCAAACGCGTTGAAATCGCTTTTATCATTTTCTTCCAGAAAGGGTTCGTGAGATTCAAGAGAAATTAGAAGCATTCATCGAAGCTCTTCATCAAGAGAAATAACAGCGTTGCAATGTATGTATCGTGTATTCACCAAATAAAATGCATCGCATTTGAATTCAGACATCAGACACAGAAGTACAGAACTTTAATTCCATGCAATTATCAGAAGGGGTTAAGAGGACTTCTCAATTAAATACCTTAAACATTCATCATGTGATCAAATTTCATGACATCACACTAAACCCATCCCGAATGAGCCATGCCTTACAATGTTATTAATTGCTTTCCGCACCAACTTGGATATGGGGAACGCTATCAATTGTTTTGAAGCTTCAGAATCCCACCTTGTACAATCCAACTAGGTCCACTTGCTAAACAGTGGCCATCAACTATATAGACAGTCTAGTACCAGCCCACAGTTAGACCGAAGCTTACTAACTGAAGGAAGCCAACTTTTAGTTATATTTGGGCATGAACAGAGAACACCTGCTTACGCTATGACTCCAGTACTTTAATAGTGGGGGGCTCATTGCTTAACTCCTATTGGTTCAGTGTCTAGTATTAGAGGCGGAAAAATATTTTACAGTGATGAATTTATTGCTAAAACTAATAATGCATCTTGATCATTTACTTAAGCGATACCAAAAACATTTAAAACGCATACAAGAAAAGGTTTGTTTTAAACCAGCCAATCCCTTTGAATGGTTCTGAACTTTAACTTCTAACTTGTTTGTATTTTTTTTCTCCCCCTCCCAGCACTCCCTGGACCTATCCCACCATGATTCTCATCACGTCACCAGGATTAAGCTTTGAATTGGTATAATCCTAATGTTTTTCTCTTCAGTGCCCATTAATTTGCCTCGCTGGCCTTGACCAGAGCCCTGTGCTCCGAATAGCCGTTACAGGAACAGGAACGTCTTGTCTGAGACACTGCAGAGAAGTTTCCGAAATCTCCGTCTTACTGAAGGCATCACTGTAAAGTGCGCACATTCAATTTGGGAGACCGCTTCGATCCTTAGAGTGCTTACCTTTCAACTGAGAATTTCATGGACAATATTTCCTAGTTTCTTCTTTTTTTAAAATCATCTTGACCACTTCAGCACAGAAGCTTTGGCTAAATCACGTTTTCTATTAAACATTTGACCTTGTTTTCGAAGCACATTAAAAATGGCTGATTGTCTCAGATGTGCAGCACCGCTATGTGTCAGTGAACATGGATGGAGCTGTATGTTTTTTTTTCTTGACAAATGCACCATATCTGTATTGTCTTCAGTACAAGTATCTTAACTCTTTTGCCTCTTGTCCAGCTCAGCACAAAATAAAAGTCTGCTGTCTGAACAACTGCATTCACCCAAAGTTAGTTACATGTGCTTCCCTGTGTCACCCGCTTCAACCATACAGTCGACCGTGCACTTAATTGTAAAGATCATATCTCTTTTCCGAAACCCACTGGAATGGGGAAGAAAATTTAATATAAGATTAAAAGTCATTGTAAGAGTAAATCTTTGCCTGGAATCCAACAAATCAGAGTCCTATCCAGTGTGCTTTCCATTTGGCTCCTTTGATGTTGGTTTTGTGTTCAGTGTTTGCTGCAGAATCCTCGAGACTTTGTGCAAACACTCCCATATAAACGGCAGTGGATAAAATTTATGGTGGTTCGTGAACTTTCCTTTTAATCTTTGCCAGCGTCCCAGGCGGTTGCATGATGTGATTAGTGAAGGCTCGTGTATTTATTGGATGCAGTTGTATTTAAATCAGATTGAATAAAATTTTGGAAACAAACAAAAAAGGGTGTAGGCTTCGAAATGTTTACAGTGAATGTTTACCCAGTGCCCGGTAGTTTCAGTTTGAGGCGTTTCAGGTATGGAAATTCATTATATATAAAGAAGTCATTTGGGTGCTGGTCGCTGGGTCACTTCAAATGATATATAAACCTGAATATTGGCGGGGAGGGGGTGGAGTGAGGAATAGTGTAATGTTTTCTTATGATCAAACTGAAATTCCAGCTTTTTTTGTAGCAGTAAACTGCAAAAGGACAGTAGCAGTAAGCCGGATGCATCCCTTCAGTGAGAAAGTGCATTCCATTCCTGTCATGGGGAAATTTCCACATGTAGTTTGCAAGCGTAAGTGGCACTGTGGTTTGTGTACTCTTGGATACCCTTAAGCACTGTGATGGGTTTCCCCATGTCTTTCACCCAGCTGATCCCCTAGTGTTACATTTTATTTTATTTGCATCGCAATAATCTTATCAATTTATAAACAGAATGCTTAAGAGATTGGCGGTTGGGCATTCAGCATCTCTGCCCCCACACTCTGGAATTCTGTCCCGCAATCCCTCAGCCTCACCCCCTCTCTTGCCTCGCGTCTAAAGACCTTCCTCTTCGACTATATTTATACAGCGCCTTTCACGTGGGGTAGTAGCTTGGAGGCTTTTGCAGTGTCCTCTTAAATAAGGCTTTTCATCAGTGCGTTACCAATCCTTCCTGTTGAATAAAACACAAGCAAGCAATGTGTAACGTACCCTGCTATCCTAAGGGTAGATATTGAAGAATTCATGTGATTGAACCTTTTTTATCAATGCTTTTGTGTTTCATATCTCAATTTTGCTTAGCATTACTATTTAAGGAAAAGTGCATTCAGTTAATGGAATTACTGTGTTACTGAAGTTGGGCACAGCTTCTGACATGGTTTAGGTCCCTTGTTGGTAGGAAAAAAAGGGAAGTTAACAATCGTTCAGTGCCCTTTTTAATTTTACTTCAATAGATTCTTTTATCATCATTGTAAAAAAACAGTACTTATATCTTCTGAATACACTGCTATATCAGGTTTGTTTAAAAGCAAATTCAAAATTTCAATTGAAAATGTATTCATTTAACTGGATGGTGAAAGGAAAGTCTCATTGCTATTGTAGGTTTTCTTCATCTTGGTTTTGATCTGCACTGAGGTGTTCAGAGATTCATTACCTTTGAATGACAATATGTTGCGTTCAATCCGATAAATCAGCAGTGCACAAACGTTTGTGGATGGCCAGCCAACAAAATAATCATACAAGTAACAAAATAGCATAGATTTATAATAATCCTTGCATTTAATATAGCGCTTTTCAAAACGTCTTCTAGACGTCTCAAAACGCTTCACAGAATATACTGTAAAGTGAATTGACTATATTTGTGGGCAAAACGCGGCAGCCACTTGCGCACGGCAGTGTCCCAATTTATGCTATAAATCAAGAAATATTCAATCTAGAAACATTTATTTTGTTGGCTCAAAAAAAGAAGTTGGATACCACTGTGATAAACCTATTTTAAAGGGAGAAAGTATAGAAGTTTAAAGTACCGGAGTATAAAAAATAAAACCTAGTACTCGACATATTAGGAAATGCATTTAATTCCTGAGAGCGTACGATTTATAACTCTTAATAACGATGGCAGCTCAGGTTAACAGATTTACCATCACACTGGTAATGGTGGGTTAGAAATTTACAAAGCTCCTGGCTCGAAAGATTTAAGACAAAGTGATTTGACAAAGAGCCTTTTTTTAAAAAAAACGCTAAACTTTTGCCCAGTGACTGTTTCACCTCATGAGAAGCACAGTGTTCACTCTTTGTATCTCGGCCGGCAGCGTTCAGGAACAGGGCAGTCCGCAGCCAAAGGTGGGGGGGGGGGGGTTGGTGCTGGTGGTGTGGGGGAGGGAAGGATGGGGTCAGATTAGCATTTCCAAAGGCCCGCAATGACTAATAGTGTCACCACAGAACTGTTGCTCACTTGTGTACTCCTATTATGTGGAAGACACAAAGAAGCTGAGGGCTGGTAAAGAACTGTCACATCACGCAGTCTCGGAGCCAGCCCCAAAGCTTCATCTCTCTTTTGCAAGGCCTGTTCCCTGTCCCTCCCCATCCCTCAAAGGCAGTGAATGATCTCTGAGGTAGGTAAATTTATTCAGTGATACAGCGGATGATTCTATTCTGACTTCATGCCTGTACCATTTGTTGCCCTGCTTGTTGAAGGGATGGGACGGTTTTCAGGGCTTTGTTTCTAATGATTTCCTCACACGTTTGGAGTTAATGGAGACCTTGTCTGAACCCAGCAGAGCGGAAATTCTTCTGCTACAAGCTGTGTGGGGATGTTCGACCACCTCGGGAGTCTGTACAAATGGGGTGAAAGTGTACAGTCTCGACAACAATGAGGATGCTTCCAGTCACTGTCGCTAGTCCCACACCTGTAAATATTGTGTCCGTTTAGTGGTAGCCCAAGCAGAACGTTCCCAGTAAATTACTGGAATTGTTTTAGCTCAACCAGGATCTTTTCAGTCATTTTTAAAAGGAACAATTTACTCCAGTTGGCAATCGCCCACAGCGCGATAATAACAACTTGCATTTATATTCATATATAATAATAATCCTTGCATTTGATACAATGCTTTTCACGTCTTCTAGCCATCTCAAAGCGCTACACAGAATATGCTGTAAAGTGAATTGACTGTATATTTGTGGACGAAACCCGGCAGCCAATTGCGCACAGCTAGCACCCTTCACGCTGGATGGGTTCTCTGAGCACTTGTAATAATAAAAGATTACAAAGAACGTACAGCATGGAAACAGGCCACTCGGTCCAACCGGTCCCATGCCAGTGTTTATATTCCACATGAGTTTTCACCCATTCCACGCTCCCTCCTTATACCCTCCTTATTCCCCTCTCCCTCATTTGAATGTCTAGCTTGCTTTTGAATGCATCGTCACTATCTGATTCAAACCACCCCTTTAAGAGTGCTGTAGTTTTGGGGGTGCAGGAGGTCACAGCCGAGGCTGTTCCTATCCTCACCACGTGTGCCATGTCCCGTGACACTTCAACAATAATTTTGCACTTTTATTTTGGTCAGCTGTGTGTCTGACACGTGCGGACACCCATCACCATGCTTGCTCTTAAATAGCGCCTTTCACGTAGGAGAACGTCTCTGAGCACTCTGGAAATTTCTTCCTCGCTGGGCTGATCATGGAAAGTTACGGATCAAATGTGTCCGCTTGGCTCAGCCGGTGATGAGAAACCATTCAACATTATGTGAATTGGGAGGGGAAAGGGCAGGGGAGTCGGGCTAAACAGAGAGCTGGCACCTGTACAATAGACTTAAAGACCTCTGTCTCCGTGCTGTACAAATCTATGAACTCATCTGCACGCAAGGTTGCCAATGGTGTTTTCACCTGGTCGTAGCCTGTGACAGTGTGTTACAGGCCTTAGAATTTAAGTTTGTGCAGCACTGGAAAATTCTCTCGAGACCAAATTGAAAAATTCTTCCGCAGGCTAAGACTAGGTGGAATTTCAGACCTCCGGAGCCTCAGTCTGCGAGGAATCCGACCCGCAAATCCCAGCGACACGTCCGAGCCTCGAGCCTGATCATTTCAGTTTTGTTGTAAATCTCGAGCGTCATAAATAATTATGGTTCCACAATGACGGAAAAAAAAAGTTGCTTCGCTCTAACTGCACTGAGACTTTCTGGAAAGTGTCGGTAATATCAGTTGCAGCTGAGGTGTCTGGGTGCCTCCGCTTACCTAAGCAGTTGGCTCGAGTCAGTACTCTTAACAGGAAACCTAAAGGACAGCAGTTTACAAGCTCCAATCCATGATAAAACTGAAGGAAATCTGAATGGGAGCCTGCTAAATAACTAGATCAAAGGGCAGGGCAGCCCTGCGCTTAGCCTCCCTGCCTGTAAAGTCCTGCCAGATGGCATGTCACACAGTGAGATCTCCAGCACAGGAATCCCTGCCACTCCAGCTCCAGCTCGGGAATTCAGAGTGGCACCAATTTCATTATTTGCCTCATCTCTGGCCGTTCATGGTGCGCTCTGGGATGCTACCCAGTGTGAGGGGACCGAAATAAATGCAAGTTGTTGTTTGTTGCCCTGAATTTCCTGGTCAGTGGGATCATTTGACATTGGGGTGCAAGGAGGAGAGCCAAAATTGTGTCTATGTGCGTGTCTGTCTGCGTGTGTGTGTGTATGTGAGGGAGGACGGGTGTGGCGGGGGGGGGGGGTGAGAAGGAGTAAAGATCTGAACCATCTCTTCCTTCCTGCAGATAAATAAATGAATGAAAGTTTCCGCAAGTCAGTTTACCTTAAAGTTTTTTAAAAAAATATATGTAAAAGTTAAAGGACGTTCCTCTTTCCGGTTTGCAGACTTATCTGTTTTACAGGTTTTTGGGGGGGGTTGGAAATGTTTGGAAGAGGCCCAGAGGTTAACCTTGCTCAACATTTCGTCCCAGTTTCGTAGAAAGTTCGAAGCTGCGAGGTCGATTTTTTGGGAGATTCTATCAGCCCGCAGACTCCAAGTCAACAACGACAACAACTTGGATTTATACCTCACTTTTCACGCGGGGCAGAGTCTCGGAGCACAGCAACGTCAACCTGCCTGGTGGAAATGCACATCCTCTGAAGGGGGATGTGTCACAGAAGTGACCCTTCGACAGCTCTGAGGTAATAAAATGGAAACAAATTTGCCGTGACTCAATCTGTGGTAAGAAGTGAAGTTTAATACCTCGGGCTGTTATTTATACTCTTTCCCAAGGGGGATGAATTTCCTAAACTGTACTGCTCGCTTGCGCCCACAGCGCTCAGTATAAATTGAGGCAAGCAGAGAGGGGAGAAGCTATATTTGGCAGATGGCCAGAGAAGGTAAACTCTGTCAAATCCTTTTTTTTTAAAATGTGAATTACAGCCACACAATAATTCACATTTATTGACCCCCGCCCTACACCTCACTCCCCCCGCCCCCCCCCCCCCCCCCCCCACACACACACA